ATTATGGCCATCACAAGCCATTCATCACATACAATAACTGACCATATGGGTTATTATAGGTTATTGTTCTTATTTTATTTTTTTTTATTTTTTTTTCCCTATATTCAATTATTTTCTTTATAGAACTCTCATCAGTTTTGATGTTCAACAGACTCAAGGCAATATTGGAGGTCCAGATATTATAATAAAAATAGATGAATCAAAGTTCGGTAGGCGAAAATATAACTGTGGCCATTGTGTCGAAGGAGTATGGGTCTTCGGTGGTGTAGAGAGAACCCCAATAGAAAAATATTTGCAAGAGCCGTTGATGACAGATCTGCTAAGACCCTACTCTCTCTAATTGAAGAAAATATAAACCCCGGGTCCATTATTTATTCAGATCTGTGGCGTGCTTACACAAGAATAAACCCTGATTTAGAGTTTCAACATCAAACTGTAAATCATAGTTTAAATTTTGTTGACCCCACTACTAGTACCCATATGAATACTATTGAAGAAATCTGGAATGATATTAAAATTCAGGTTAGTAATTAAAAAAAAAATTAATTTAATCAATTTAATTCCTTATAGCTGTTATCATAATTCCTGGGAACACTCATAAAAAATTAGCCAAATGATTTTTGACCGATCTGATTAATTTATTATTTCAGCATACAGCTGTTTTCCAGTTGTTTTCATAATTCCTGGGACATCTGTAAAAAATTAGCTGAATGATTTTTCAGCCAATCTGGTTAAGTTATTATTTCGGTATAATCGATTCAATAAAAATTAATCTATTATGCTGAAATAATAACTTAACTGCTGAAAAATCATTCTGCTAATTTTTTACAAGTATCTCAGAAATTATGAAAACAGCTGTAAATCAACTATTATATTTATAAATTAAACTTGCAATAGCTAATTACAACTAATTATCTATAGGTGCAAAATAATGCCCAGGAGTAATTTCAAATTATGGCCTGTGCTAAATTTAACTTACTGTATTATCTCAAAATAATATCTGGGTGTAGGTTAAAAATTTGGCCTGAATCAAGCTTAATTAAACTGAATTAAGCTTAATTCAAGACAGATTTTTAACCTATACCTCAGGAGTTATTTCAAGACAATACGATAGAACATTATTTTGTTCTTACCAAAATAATAAAAATCGGTCTGATTAATTAATTGACATTTTTTTTTTTTTTTAGATTCCATCAAGAAGCCATACAAAGTCTAAAATTTCAGACCGCTTGTTTGAGTTCATATGGTGCTGGCAGAACAAAGATAATCTTTGAGAAAAGATGTTAAAATGTATAAAGAACACTGGATATTTTGAAGAGAAAGAAACAGATGAGAGTGAGGGTAAAGAGGACAAAGAGGAAAATGAGAAGAATGACAAAAGGGAGAATAATGAAGATGGATATGAAGATAAGTATAATGAAATGAATGATGAGAATGATGAAGAGGAGAATGAAGAGAGAGATAAAAATTATGATAGTGATAGTGAAAATAATGAAGACGAAAATGAAAATGAGAATAGAGATGATAATAACGGAAATGATAGTAATTATAGCACCAAGAATGAAAATAAAGATGAGGATAGAGATGATAATAATAGAAGTGGTAGAAATATGTTATCATAAGTATTATTTTGAAAATGATAAAAAAGAAATTTGATAATCATTTACTTACCATGAATATCAGCAGCTACTTAAAAATTA